TAAGTGTAATCGGTTAAAATTTACTATGAACTCCCTAACACACACTCCCTTAATATGAGAACAAATAACAAACAGATTAAAACATGCTAGAACAAATAGATTAAAACATGTTAGCTCTTAATTACCTCTAAGATCACATACTCCTGAAGTAGAAGCAGCAAACTGAACACTTTGAGCTTTTGCCTTTTCATAGAATCTTCCTCTTGAGTTACTATGACTATCATCTCATCCACAGACCATTCAACTTTCTGAGTATTATAGGAGGTCCGCATAACATCAAATTGGGGAGGCAGAGACTCAAGAACCCTCCAAATTAAAGTGCTCTCACTAATTTCAACTTTCAGAGTTTTAAACTTATTATAATAGTGGATCAACTTCATAATATGCTCACGCACACCACTAACACCATCATACTTAGTTTTGTCAAACAGAGAGAGATACTCACACTTCTTAGCCTTATCAAAACGAGTGAACTTCTCACAAACAGACTTCAGGTAATCTTTAGCACTCTCACTTTCTGGTATGCTTTGTCTTATAGATTTTTCCATAGTGTAAGATATCACCTTAAGGCACACTCTATTGGAGTGTTCCCATTTTTCATAAAGAGTCTTTTGAGCTTTAGTAGACGTGTCAGTAATAGCGTCAGACTTTTCAGTTCTCAGAGCCAAGTCAAGGTTGGCTATAGCAAATAAAGGTCGAGAGACTCTTTCCAGTCCTCATAATTGGTCCTATTAAGAGTTTTGACAGAGTTAGGAAAAGAGACGGTCATGAAGGAATAAATAATCATTAAATAAATGATTATGTAATATAGAAAATTGATTCCTCATATACTAGCCAAATATTTTCCTAATAAAAAACTCTAACTCATTATGATCTTGCATCAAAGATACAATAATAAACAGAAACTTATATTACCAAAATTTTAATATCGATAGGATATTTAAACATGATAAAATAAGCATAAATTATCAACAATATTTTGTATCATAATAAAATTATACTTAATAATAATATACTGATATGGTATAGTTCTTACTAATATAATATAAATCATAATTATTAATAAATAAACTTTTATTTATTCTGAATTTATATCAATAGTAATATATCGATAGGATACAATTATTATTATTAATATAAATAATTATTATTTCCAACAAATTGATCTGAATTTATATCAATAGTAATATATCGATAGGATACAATTATTATTAATATAAATAATTATTATGATTATTATTCAATTATGCATAATAATTATTAGTATAAGAATATTATATTTCTTTAAACAAAATTCTAATAAATATAATAGCCTTAACTAACACATTCATAATGCGTTCAAAATATCTACTGCCTTCAAAATAGTGATATAAAAAATTACTATACATAAAATGTTTTATATATGAAAGGCCATGTCATTTCGTAACCGAATAAGAAAAAATAGTGCCACTATTATTACTATGTAATGGCTTGAGAAAAATAATGTCTGCGTAACAGAATGAGAAAAAATAGTGTCAATAATATATGTAACGACATGAGAAAAATAATGCCATGGAAAACAAATTTACGAAGGATTAAAAAATAATTTTACGTTGCAGCCACGAACACAATATTAATCAACGACACACAGTACACATGCTATAATGAATGTAAGTTTCATAATCACCAATGAATAAATTAAAACAAATAGTCATACAACATATCTATTTGGCTCTGATACCAATCGATGAAAAACTAATCGTATAGCCTAATTATAGATATGATTGTACGACATATTATAATATCAGCAATAAACATGTACCTGTTATGGTTGAATCCATTGGCATAAACTGAGAATGCTACTACCTCTTTCCCTTTCCGATGTTTCCGATGGAACGGTTACGCTTAATTATCTGACCTAATGGGATAGTCAAATATATAACCACCAGATGAGGGAAGAGACTTCTCAGCGGGCTATCCAAAAGAATGACCCAACCTATTATGGGTCATTCAACAATTAAGCCCAATACAATATTCATTTAATTAATTAAATATTAATTAATATAATAATTATATATATAATAAAATAAATAATTAAAGTAAATCCATTATAGATTTAATAGTATAGGTTAGTATAGGTTATGATTTCATTCCAAACTCCAACATTGTTAGAGGAAGTGTTACTTGCAATCACCCTTTTTCAAAGCCTACTATTGACTTGAAATCACCTTTCCCGAGAGAGAGAGAGAGAGAGAGAGAGAGAGAGAGAGAGAGAGAGAGAGAGAGAGAGAGAGAGAGAGAGAGAGAGAGATGAGAGAGAGAGAGAGAGAGAGAGAGAGAGAGAGAGAGAGAGAGAGAGAGAGACCTAATTTCTAATTAACACAAAGTTACCAACCAAAGCTAAGATTTACTATGAACTCCTTAACATATTAAAACATGCTAGAACAAATAGATTAAAACATGTTAGCTCTTAATTACCCCTAAGATCACATACTCCAAGTCTTGTCCTATGTTGCAAAAGGAATCAAGCTTCAAGAGCTTTGTTAGGACATCTGTAAGTTAATTCTCTTAGCTACAATGACATATCTCAATTATTTCATCTTAAGTTAATCAGTTAAAATTTACTATGAACTCCCTAACACACACTCCCTTAATATGAGAACAAATAACAAACAGATTAAAACATGCTAGAACAAATAGATTAAAACATGTTAGCTCTTAATTACCTCTAAGATCACATACTCCTGAAGTAGAAGCAACAAACTGAACACTTTGAGCTTTTTCCTTTTTCATAGAATCTTCCTCTTGAGTTACTATGGCTATCATCTCATCCACAGACCATTCAACTTTCTGAGTATTATAGGAGGTCCGCATAACATCAAATTGGGGAGGCAGAGACTCAAGAACCCTCCAAATTAAAGTGCTCTCACTAATTTCAACTTTCAGAGTTTTAAACTTATTATAATAGTGGATCAACTTCATAATATGCTCACGCACACCACTAACACCATCATACTTAGTTTTGTCAAACAG